TTCAATGGTTTGGTGGCATTGGGCACAGTGGGGAGCGAGGAGCTCTTCTCAGTTGTTGCCTTCCACTGCCCCTGCTCCCCTGCCCGCAACTACATCTATGGGCTGGCTGCCATCGGTGTCCCGGCCCTGGCCCTCTTCCTCATTGGTGTCATCTGGAACAATCACACCTGGAACCTGGTGGCCGAGTGCCACAAGCGTGGCACCAAGAACTTCTCCGCTGCTGCCACCTTCCTCCTCTTCGGCTCCATCATGGGCCGAGCGTCTGTGGCACCCATCACTTGGTCGGTCATCTCGCTGCTGCGAGGGGAAGCTTACATCTGTGCCCTCAGCGAGTTTGTCAAGCCATCCTCCCTGGACAAGTTTCCAGCTGAGTACGGGGCCGAAGTGCTGGCCAAGTTCCCCTGTAGAGACGTCCCGGCAAACCTCACCAAGTTCAGGGACGAGGTGACACGGAGGCTGAGATACGAGTCCCAGGTAGGCACACCAGGGAGAAGGCCACAGGGAGTGGGTAAGACCGCCTTGCCGTGTCCTAACGCAGCCTCTCTCTTCTCTCCCAGCTCTTCGGCTGGCTGCTCATCGGCATTGTTGCGGTCCTGGTTTTCCTCACCAAGTGCCTGAAGCACTGCTGCTCGCCGCTGAGCTACCGGCAGGAGGCCTACTGGGCCCAGTACCGCTCCAACGAGGACAAGCTCTTCCGACGCACGGCCGAGGTCCACTCCAGGATCCTGGCAGCCAAGAATGTGAAACAATTCTTTGGCTTTGTGGCACTGGACAAGGAGGAGAAGGAGCTGGTGCAGGAGTTCCCGGTGGAGGGCGTCCAGCCGAGCCCCCAGTGGAATGCCATCACAGGTGTCTACATCTACCGAGAGAACAAGGGCTTTCCCCTCTACAGCCGCCTCCACAAATGGGCCAAAGGGGTGGAAGGGAACGGGCCAACCCCAGAAGGCCACGAACTGCTGTTTTTAGCTTCCTAAGACAGATGTGCACCAGCAGCGCTTCCCCAGACTGCCTGGCAGGCCTTCCAGTACCCGTGCTCAGCTGAGGGATGCACTGGGAAAATTCCTCCCAGAAGGATTACTTCTGTCAGCAGGTAAACAGGAATCGACAGCCTCAAGGCAGGGACTGATAAGCAATACCCTGAGCTGGGGAACCCCTCCCTCAGAGACAACAGTCTCACTGCTGCTCCCAGAGACACAGGGGAGCAAAGAGCAGATGCAGCCCTTACCTCCAGGCTGCCAGTGCAGCCCACTACCTGACACACCAGCAGAAGCCTTGGGGAGCTAGAGATGGGCACATCTCTCACTGTGACTCGTGCAGTCCCACTCGTCTCCCCTACAGCAAGGCTAGCCCCAGCCATCCCATACCTATTTGTTTTATTGACATTGGTATATTCTTACATACTTGTGTGATGCCTGTTACACAGGCAGGTCCCAGAGCACTTTGCAGACTTTACAGTGCAGGTAAAAGGAAGCAGTGGGTAAATTCCTGAGGCAAGGATGCAATAGCATTTGGGAAGGAATGGGTCAGTAATAGCCACACACCAAATAAGTGAGAGACTAAAGCAGGAGGAATCACCAATATTCCTGGTATTCAGAAAGGCACTCTGTAATTACCAAGTTGAAATTTGGGTAAGACACCAAACTCCCTTTGTTCTTACTAAAGTGCCTGGCAATCTCTAATGAGCCCAAATGGTCACCACCATGAGTTTATAAACCCAGAGGAGACACCATCAGCAGAACAGCTTTGGGGCAAGGTAGCAAGGTGGAGACTGAGAGGAATCAGTACCCACAGCACTGTCTGCATCTCATTGCATTTGTCATCCAACCATCAGATGAGAGTCCTTTGTTTGGGTTACAAGCTGCAGGATGACCTCAACCAGAATTAGCTTTACAAAAATGTATGTATATACATACAGTGTATATACCAAGTAACTGTGGTTAGTCAGTTGTATTAATGGAGCATCTTCCTCAGAGGGCAAGGGGATGAGAAAGCTGACAGCCCAAAGAGCACATTACATTCATCCATCTGCTGCACTGGGACTGCAGCCCTGCAGCAACAAGGGGAGAGCAGGAACAGAATGGGGGAGCAGCCCTCTCCCTACAAATCTACCACTGAATTTTCTAAAAGTCTTTCCACTGCCTTAATTGGCCCCTGGAGCATGTCTCTTTTATGGACTTGGCCCAGAAAGGTGTAAAATTACTATCCTCACCAGGACACTGTGTGACTATGGCTTCAAGGCTGCTCCTCTGGCATTGCAGTCCCTTTTCTCCCAGGGGTCAATCCTATCCACACTGTTTAAAGAGCTGGCATGACAGAGAAGTTTGGTTTTCCTACTTGAACTGTTTTGTTATAGATACAACTTCCTTTTACACTGTGTCATTTATCAAAAAGCCTTAAGTTGTTCAAAAAACAGCCCAAACCCACAAAACTCAGAGGGGCTTACACACAAGGAGATTTGAAATAAATTATTAAATGAGTTATTTTTCATTGACTTCTGAGTTTTTTTCAGGGGGTATAAAAGGCATAATTTAACATTCTCTTTGAACTCAAGGACTGGGAACTTGTTTTTTCTTTCTATTAAAGATTCAGATCCTCTCCTATCCAGATCATCCTAGGATGTTTCAAAGCATTACCACATATTACAAGTTAGTAACATGGCTTTTTAGTTATGCTTGCAGTGAGTAGCACAAATCTTGTATATCAGGATACAGAATTGCAGCAAAGGAGAGAAAATTATTTAAAAAACTTTCGACAAGTATGGTGTCTTGCAAGAAAGAGGTGCAGGCTATTCCCTCACATAAAGAGGCTGGAACACCGCTTAATGGGCGAGGCATCCCAGGATCCCTGCTCAGCTTCTCCACTGATTTGCTTTGCATTTGCGGGAAGGCTCTCAGCTTCACCATCAACTAATGCACAGAAATAATCAGATGGAAGTTAAATTAAATTGCATTAACTTGAGATGAAAGGGAGCTCATTTGCATTTCTTCTCGCTGGCCCTCGAGTGCAAACATGCAGATGCACATGCCACCCCCACACAGCCAGCAGACACAAGGTAACTTGCTGAAACAAAGCAGAGTTCCTCTTACTTCCTTTATTTCCCTCACCTTCCTCCTTGATAGTCCTAATTATTCCTTTGAACCACCTCCACTCTGGTTCCTTCTCTTCCCCTTTCCTCCTTTGAAGGAAAGGGGCAAGACACGTAATGCTTGAGAATGGATTTGTATCCTAAGAATAAACCATGAGCACAAACCATCTTTTGTTCTGTTGACATCCCTTCTCTCCTGTATTAAATCCACTTTCTTTCCATCGGCTGGGACAGGCTAGGGGCTTGTCCAACATGTCTGTTTTCCCTCCCTCTTGTTGGAGAGGCATGTTTGAGTGGACAGCTGTCAGTGAGGAGTGGAGCAAGACATTACACTCAGAAATTTGTTTGCAATTGCAGAGATTTGTTTTTTCTCCTCTCTGCTATCCTGAGCGTGGTCTCCACTGAGACAGTCCCAGGCTTCTGCCTCTCCTGGCACATCATCACCCTCAGGAATATATCCCTGCTGCTCCTGTCATCCAGTGTCCCCCAATGACAATGCTGAGGTGAGGAACATTAACCCAGATTGGTAATGTTTGTTTTACACACAAGCACAAGCAGCCAGGTTAGATTTTTCACTGAAATGCCAAGAGCAAAATTGAGTCACCCATCTCCCCTGGCAAGCTGGATCACACAAGCTGGGAGCTCACACCCCCTGCTTTTCCTCCAGGGACCAATAATAATCCCGTCACAGAACAGCCCACAGGTCACAGCTCCCAGCAGCAAGATGGGTTCAAACCAGGCTTCTCCAGTACAGAGAATTATACACAGGTCTTTCACCTCTCCTGCCTACTACAGACACTATAACAGCCCCAGTAGTGAAGAAGAAACAATACCTCTGAGGGATCTTGGTTTCTATTGCAACGCTTATTTACATGTTCTATTATGCAACTAATTAAACCAAAAGAAAGAGCCACCATCATTGAAGCTGTGTTCTTTAAAAAAGGCAGCAGTTGCTACTGGATGTTGCAATCAGCCTCCTCCACTACAAGACCATTAAGCAAAATCTGAGTACAGCACCCTGCTCTCCCTGGGGGCAAGAAGTGAAATTACTTGTTTCTGGATCCCAAAGGACTTGGGAATGAAATAGATGCTGAATCATCCAGCCTTGCCAGCACTGGGCATTCACAGAGGCAGAAGAGCTGGGTCCTGCAAAGCTCTGGTTTTGAGTTTAGAGTACCTACAATGAGTAAGACGCTTCAAGTTTGGTATTTCAAAGCTAGGGTCTACACTGGATACTCACATCTGTTGGCATACCCTGTTTTCCCCTTGCCTTGAGTTCTTCCTCTGTAAAACACTGGGCTAATCATATCCACATCTCAGTGGAAAGTTAGAGGAATACAGAATTGTAAGGATATGGACCATAAGGCACTGACATCAGCGGCAGCTTTTTTAAGTACCCAAAATACCTGGCTTTTTCCAAGCAGAAGGTTACATTAGGGTAACTTTTTCAGCATTGAAAAAACACTCTTTTCTTTTACTTAAGTGATTGCTCTTAAGAGACAATGATTACTGAAAATCACTATTTTTTCTGTCATCAATCCCTAGCAACTTGTTACAACAGATGGTTTTCCAGGGAGGTTGTGCAGTCTCTGTTCTTGGGGAAATCAAAACCAAACTGGGAGGGAACCTGAGCAACCTAGTCTTGCTGACCCCTGATTTGAGCAGGAACTTGAAGATCATCATCAAGAGGCTCCTTCCAGCTTCAACTATGCCACAATCCAGTGTTGCTCTGCCAATCTAGAGCATAAAGGCACCTGAGATAAATCTCTTGAAGTGTTAATGCATCCAAAAGACAAGAATCTTCTCTGCCATCTTAACAGTGAGAAAAATCAAACTGTAAGACATTACTGTACTTAGAAGCAGCATGTCATAACTGCAGCATTTCCCCAGGAAAGTAAAACAGGTACAGCTGATGTTTCTTTTGATTATAAAACAGTCTGTATTTAAAAACATGTCATCAACAGACCAGGATTATTTGTAACTTCTGGACAAAGCTGCAAACATTTATCAGATTGATTGTTCTTTCCAAGCTGGTTTGGTCACAGACCAATACTCTCCAGAAACTCACTGTCCATGGACAGTCACAGCAGAACTCCACATTTCTCAGTTCCCACACTGCACGGAAAGCCAAGTCTCTCTGCTTTCACTTGCACCACACTTAGGTGTCAGCAAGGGAACTCTTGCTCTCCACATACTCAAGTGCTGCTCTTTTAACAGCCAGGACACTTTCTGCTGTACCAAATTTCTTCTCATAATCCAGGTAGCGTTTGAAGAAGAATTTCATCTTCTTTGGGGCCAAGCTCAGGTGTATGACCCTCTCAAAGATGTCTCTGCAAGAAATCAAAGTGACTCAAATTACCATGTTTGTGACAGCACTCAATACTTGCCCTGTACTCTGTCTTTTAATAAATAGCAGAAAGTCTGGGGAAACATTCAGGGAAATTGCTGTGAAGTGCTGGTGCTTGAAAAAAGAGATTCCTAACAATTGGCCAAAATCTCTAAGTAGAAGCCTTCTACTTGCTTGCAGAACACTAAGGCTGCTGGTCAACTTAAACAAAGATCCAGGCACTGCATTGGACCATGGATTCATTAAGTGGATGTAGAAATTACTTCATTTTGTCACGTCTCAGGAAAAGAAATGAAAAAATATGGTTTTCCATTTTTATGTTACAAAGATTGATTATTCAACATTGATCTCACCCTTCAGATACAAGGCAATCCCTGCAGAGGGACAGGAGAACTTCAGTGCAGGGTCCCTAGTCTCTGTCATGCAGGCCACAACTTATAAATCAGCTCCTCTCTGCTCTATGCAACTCTTTGAGTCTCCTCAATCCCAGCAAGGATAAGCACTTCCACACACCCCATTTTTTGGGGGGGAAAATCCCTTTTGCTGCACTGTGGGAAGCCCTATACAACCTCACACTGCAGGGTACCTCTGCTCCTTTCAGGCGTGTTCTGCCCCTTCCCAGCCTGCTGCAGCACAACTCACCGGATTTCCTTCTGGCTGCCATGCTTGATCATGATGTCCATGTAGATGGACCAAACGTCTGTCCGCTTGGGATAGCTGCTGAGGGTGCTCTCAAAGAGGGCCTTGGCATGTTCTGTGTCCCCAGAATGGAACTCCAGCTGTGCAAACCTTGAAATGACATCCACATCTGGAAAAAGTAATGACATGTTACGGTATCACAGCAACTCTTCCACATGATCAAACACAAGAGAGAATTACACAGAACAGAGGCAGGCACAGAGACAGCACCATCTCTACCCAGAGACAAAAGGCTCTGTTGTAAAGAGGTTCTGGAGCAGGGTGGGATCAAAATGGTTCTGGACCAGGGTGGGATCAAAGTGGGAGACAGAAGGGTCACAGTTCACTTCCCATTTCAACTCTCTGCAGGAGAGAGAGGTTTATTTTTATATTCATAATATATCATGCAGCAACCATAGGCAGCCCCAGAAACCTGAGCTTAGACCAAGTGAACTTTTCTAGAGGGCTGTATAATTCAAAGCTGTCTTTGCTTTGGGTGCTTTACTTTTGAGCATCACAGCAAATTCTACTTGGTGCCTTTAGCAGAGGTGCATTTAGCAGTGACATCCAGCTTGAAAGTTCCTCTCCCTGAGAGTCAGCTGACTGCACTTTTCACTTATTACAAATGCTGTCACAGGCAGAGATATCAGACAGCAGCCCATCCCCTGTCTACAATAAGGTCCACAGTAAGGCTGGGGCAGAGAGAGCTTACGTTCTTTGGTGGGCAGAGCCTTGAGAGCACGCTCCAGAAGCCTGTGTGTAGCCTCAGCCTGGCCTTGCTTCAGGAGGAAAGAGGCGTATTTCAGCCACACGGATTTCTCCTGACGAAAACGCTTCAGCATTGTGTGGTACAATTCTTCTGCTTGCTGGAAGGACAGAGTTGGGTTAGATCACACATTCCTAACAAAGCCTTGTAGGTTTAAGACTCTTATTCTTAGGCTGGGTGTCTCTGAACACTTATGACATAAAAGCAAGCATCAATACATCCTTGCCCACTGTCAAACACAGCCATTAATTCCAGTTAAGAATAGGACAGGCCCAAAATCTGACAGCTGGAAGCTTACACAGTCAGCATTTGCAGTTTACTGGCATGCCTGAATGGGATACATGCCAGGGATCTGCTTGCACTCTCTTACCTTGCACTTCTCAGAACTGGCATAGATGTCACACAGATGCTGGAAGACTTTCAGAGGCTCATTGTATTGAACTGCTCTCTCAAAAACCTTCATCAGTGTCTCCTCAGTACCATACATGTTCTCCAAGTTCAGCAGAGCTACCCAGACGTTCAGCTTCTCCTGTTCTTCCCTTAAAGCAGACGTGAACAAGAATATTCAGCCTTTTGCCAGTCTTCACCAGGTTTTTGCAAACTACCCTGCACAGACTCACTGACTTGTAGCAGGCCTCCAGGACAAGAAACAGGACATACTGCTCCTTGAAACACCATTTTTGAAATAGAGCACAGCAGTTGATTCACATTACAGTTTTTATCATTGTTGTTTGTAATTAAAAAACAGAAGGTTGAGTCAAGAAAGCACAATATACTTAACCATGCAGTAGAGATTATTTAAGGTACAGCCCTATGGCAAAAGCAACAGGAGTTTCACCGTTTGTTTCATGTTTTGATTCAAGGACATCACTGACAGCATTATGCTCTTCCAAATGCTTCTGACTGCTCAGAGGAATATCTGTGCACTCAGTGACACCTTCAGGAGCTCCTGAGCTCATGACCTGCAGCAGGTCAGTGGTGGTGACTCGGGCCAAACCTTCAAAGGGCCAGCTGACAGTTGCTACCATTTAATCCTTCTGAGCTCACTAAAAGAGACTCTGTCACTCCACACACACAGACTCACACTGATACTACTGGTGTTCTTCCACCACAACTACCCCATCATGATTTATTCTTTGGGGCATAGAAAAGCAGAGCTCCTTTATTACCTGAAACTGATTGTTTTAAGTGCTCTCTCTGCCACAGCTCTGGCCTTCTCAATCTCTGTAGCCTGGAGGTGGAAAGCCATGTACTGCAGCCAGAGGATGGAGCTGTTGGGACTGCCCAGCACCAGGCGGTCAAAGTCATCTGCTGACTGGGGCTGCCGGCTCGGGTCCATTAGAGCCGCCTCTGCTTTGCAAAGCTCCTTCTCCTTCTTCTGCTTCTCCAGATCCTTCTCCTTCTTTGTTCGTTTCTTCAGCTGAAAGAGCAAAACAGGAGGACTGAGGAAGGGCAGGCACTTCATGGGGGAATAGGCAGCTCCAGCTAAAGCACAGCCAGACCTCACTATGTCCAAGTGGACATACTGCTAAGCAGTTTCCACAGGAAGAGATGAGGCCAACTGTTTAAAAGAGGATAAAAATGATACACACCCCCACCCTTCTTACACAGCTCACACCTCAAAGAAGAGCAGCAGTACATGAAATTCCTTTTTATTAAATGAAATTCATTGAGGGACCAAATAGTTTGCTTGTATGGCACCACAGCAGCAGGATGCACGCTTTGCCCTTCCCTCTCATTCTTCCATCTTTACCCTCCAGGCCAGTACTCACTATCACTCTCCTTCACTCTGTAAAAACCTGACCCAATTTCTCCCCATGTACAACTGGGGTGTGCTGCTGGATCACTAGGGTGACTCAGGTCTAAATCTGGAACTCACAGTGCCATAGTTCTCTGCCTTGTTACCTTGGCCAATAAAGCATCAGCCATGCATTGCCTTTAGAGAGGTGAGTTTTGAGGGACAGGGGAAATCCTGAAGAGCAAACATGAAAGGAGTTCATGAGCTTGTTTCTGATTTTGCTAAATTGCTCTCACTGGAAAACCTTTCTAAACGTTATAGCGTAAAAGAAGATTCTTTTTTGGTGCTTTTTAGTGTTTTGCTAAAAAAGAGTACTATAACTTGAAAGGTTTTTCATCGCCAGGTTTTTCTGTAAGTTTATGACACTCAGGAAAGTAAGAAACAGAGCTGACATTTAATAAAAAAGTTTTTTAACATTAAAATATTTGTTTGACCCTAAATACTTATTTTTTCAACACGTCAACATAAGAAAACCTGTTTTTCATGCAGCCATGCTAAAATTGGGCCTTCTCTCCTCTGCTTCAGAGGTAACTGCTACTAAAGTCAGTTTTCAAAATAGCTGAACAAGTTCTGTGTCAGCTGCCAAAGATGTTCCCTTGGGTTAAAAGGCTTTGCTACAGGAGAGACAGACATGCAAATACCAAACCATCACATTAGAGCCACTGTGTGGTGTCTCCTGTGCAGACAATACAATTACACAGTACCTTGGACTGCATATCCTCCTCCTCCTCGCTCTCTGAGCTCTCTTCCTTCTGATCCAGCACAGGTATATCCATTGCATTGTCTTCATCCCAGGTGAAGCCCATGGAAACTTGCAGCCTGGGAGCTTCACCAGGCTTCCTTACCTGTTCAGAGGAAGACAGAAAATGCCCTGGATTTCAATTTAAGGTTTTTAGATTGGATCAGACAACTGTTCTTTGCTTGTGGCATCTCCCCATATTCAGTACTATTGGCTTCTTGTACTTGCAAACAGCCCATCAGCAAAAACATTGACTCTGTGACCAGCTTTGCTGTAAATTATATTCCCTCCACTTCAAGCCATTTTCAGAGACACAAACACCAGCATGTGTCACTCTTATCTGCAGCAGTAATACTTATTGTCTTAAAAGTTAAACTGACACATATCGATAGAGCTAGAAGACCATTTCAGGCTCAGGTTTTCCTCCAAACTTCTCACCGTAGATTTCTTTTTAGCTGCCTCTTCCTCCTGGTCCTCTTCCTCCTCACGGTAATATACCTCAATTCCACTGTCATTTTCATCTGTTGGGCAGATCTTCCTCTTCTTTGGCTTTGCCTCCTGCAACAAGTGGAAATGAGTGGATGGTCAAGACCAACAACTGTGACGATCTTAAAGGCAATTCTGATCCCAAAGTCAAGAGCCTGACAGCAGAGAGGGCCGTACCCAGGCACAGCATCCCCCGCTACTCTCTCAGCTAACAGAGACAGAGGAGAATAAACCCACACTCAACTACAAGGGATGCAAAGACAAAGGGACAGGAAACACAACTGGGCTGTTATCTCAGCTCCCACCCAAAGGGAATAGTTTTTGATCTCTGTAATCTCCAATGCAATTTAATCTTTTTTTTTCCTAGTCTGTACAATTTCTCAGCCTCATCCTTCTGGGATGAGACTGGGATCTTCCCAGTCACTTCAGTATTTGAACCAACAAAGTCCTTTAGCATATCCTGTGCAAGCACACCCATACCTGACCACTTTCATGATTTCCTCTTCTCTTTTTTGTCTTTGGCTTAGGCTCTTCTCTTTTTTCCTCATCATCTGCCTCTCTTTTCTCTTCCTCTGCTCCATATTGTGGTAGGCCTAGGGATTCAGGCAAGACACTTGGCATCCCAGTGTCCTCAGGCAGGAGAGAGAGCTCAGTATGCTTTTCTTTTCTATTTACCCTGTGGTGCACCACCAGGAGTAGCAGGACAGAAGAATAAGAAAAAAACAGAGCATTTACAATGACTGCAAGGTTCTGAATTTGTTTAAGCCTTCCTGTATTTTATCCTCCTCCCTCTTCCCATCCTCTCTTTTAATTCATAGTCCCTTTTAAAGGACATTGGACCTACCTAAGTACTTTGGCAGTGAGCAGCTTTCCTTCAGGCAGGTACTTTTCATATAATGAATGTTTCTGTACAAAGTATGGGGAAACATTCTGGAATAGGATTCGGCCCAGAAGAGAAGTGGACAATCTGAGAAGAGGAAGAAAACCAGAAATAAGTATTCTGCAGCAGGAGGAAAGAAAAATAAAGTGCATTTGTGGCATCATCAGCTGTATAAAGTGTCTCAATAACTTTCCCTACTTTAATTTCACAGGCTTAGCACAGTATCCATGACATCTTGATTCCCACGAGTAAATTCATTTTGCAACCTCACATTATTCCAGAGACCATCCCAAAACAAGATTCCACAATCATTACCTCAAAATAAGTTCTCGAAGAAACATCACTTGCCAGAATCATTTTCTCAGGTTACTCACCCAAAGAATACACCTGATGGAGTGACTGATTTGACATAGCCTCTCACTAGCTGGCCTTTTTTAACATCCTTAATACTTTTTATTTCAATATCCTCCACTTTGCTGCTTATCTTTGGATTTAGCCTAAAAGAAAAGAGAGGTCAGAAGTTAAAGCACACATTTGAATAACTCACATTCTGCTCTGGATAGCAGAAAATAAATCAGTATTAACCACAGCTAGTACTCTCTGCAAAACACTGGATCAGAGACACCCTTCAGTTTATTGAAATGTACTAATGGATTACCTGCATCTCTGCCAAGCTCTGCCTAGCATAAGGGAATACATACGCTGCTGCAAACAGAGCCAAACACATCAGCCTGGCCTTCTCTGACACTAAGAAAATGAGGAGAGTGAAATGCTGTCTGAAATTTTGCACAGCATTTGCTTGGTGTTTTCCCTACTTATTTCTAAGATACTTAATTCCACACTTCTTAATTCCACAAGTAAGAAGGACAAAGCAAGAGGCTCAGTTTTAAGAGACATTTAGGGCTAAATCTATGATTTAATCAAAACTGTTAAAATGCAGCTGAACATTGAAACAACATACTTGTATTGCAAATTTAGTGGTAGAACTTTCTTCCCAAATAAGCAAACAAAAAAGATAAGGCCTAGAAACTATGACAAACAGAAATTAAATCTGAACCCACTTGAGCAGGTTTATGTTAAGTGCCAGACCCTTCAATGTTTGCTGATTCTCAGGAAAAAAATCTTTCTGAAGTAGGAACAAGTATCACCCCTTACAAAAATACACTCCTTATTCTTTTAACACTTCTCACTGATATTCCCAAAAAAATAACAAGAGTATTTCATGATAATTTTTTTACTAGTAGGAGATCACAGACTAGAGGGATGACACATACCGGGACTGCCTGAGAGATAACTGGATTTTACCATTCTCATTGGAGAGGATGTAACACCTGCATGGCAGAGGAGGGGGAGAAAACAGAAAGCTTTTTTACATGCTAAAATAAGCCACTGGTATAAAAGAAATATTCGCAGAAATAATAGCAGAAAAAGAAACAAAGCACTCTGTTCCTTCAAGCACTTTCTGTCTAATACAAACCAGCATGACACAATAGTTCATAAAGCTAGATAAAGGACTTCTGAAACATGTCTGCTTCATTTACTCAGTCTCTGCTGCCAGTACAAAAGAGTTAGAGATTGTTTCACCTGAAATCACTTGGCCTGTTGCACTGTCCAACACTCCCAACACGAACGTGAAGCAGGGAAATGTGATTGCTTGTGCATTACAAATGTAAAAACAACTCAATAGCCAAACAGCCCCACAAAGTCACTGCAGACCTGGGACACCTGGCCACCCTTAGCCCCATCAGTGCCTTAGCTAACAGAGTAGTTACTCTCAAAAAGACAGTCCATGAAGGCAGCTGAAAAGGGGCTTCTTCATAAATAGAAAATACAAGACTTTCACCCAAATATTTATAAGGGAAGTCAGCATCACTTCTTAGCCACAGACTGAGCTTATAGTCTGGCACTACCTCAAGGATCACCACCTCAAGGTCACCAAATGAGGATCTTTCTAAGCCTTGCAGCTTGAAGGAACAAGGAAGATAATTACTGACCTGACAATTTTGCCAACTTTGAAGCTCCCCAGAGGATCCTCTGTGTAAGTATCATTCAGGTGAAAGATGCTGACTTTGCCAGTCTTCCCACCTGGCAGTGTAATGGTCAAGCCAACGTGTGAAGTCACCTTTGTTACCATGCCTACAGAGATGGTGTCCTGCTCCAGTGACTGAATTCCTGAAAAAAGTGGAGGGAAAGGGCTTCATAACACCTCAAAATATGAAGCAAGAGGTAGTATGTTTGTGTAGCTAATTTTAGTTGCCTAGTCATATATCAAACCCACAAACTTTTGGTAAGGTGCAGTCTATGCAATCTTTGCTCACATCCATGATTGCCGTGGTAGCCCAGACAAGTACAATCTTTAGCTGCACAATTCCAGTATCCAGAGTAACTGACAAATGTTGATAAATGTACCACCTCACACCTGAGATTAGAAGGGAATGTGTTCAGAAGGGCTCAGAGAAGGGCTTCAGTCTGCGACACTAGGAAAGTGATTCTTTATTCTAGAGGCTTGATTTCGCCTGTCTTAGATGCTGCTACATCTAGGTCAGGGTTCCAGGGGTTAGTTCTGTTCTAAAGAGAGGTACAGCTTGGCTCTGGAGTGTAACATCTTCACCTGAGGGGCCAATGCAGGCCCAACTCTGAGTAAAGTACCACTTGTGGTGGGGTCCTGCTGTTAAGGCTCCACAATACCTGTGAGTGACAAACAGAGGTTTGTTTCGGTGGCATCTGTTCCAGTCACTGTAGCTGATATTGCCTGGCCACTTTTAAAGCTCTTTTCTGGATGTTTTAAGACCTGAAATAAAAGACATGTTTACACTTATTTCCAGAAAGGAAGCTTTGCACAACTCTGATAGTGTTTCCCCTATGAACCTTTACACTTCCTATAAACATCTTTGATGTGCAGTTGACTGATAGCTCAGCACTGCTTCAGTGGCTCTATCCTGAGCTGAACTAGCTACAGGCACAGTACTTGCTTGTCAGCAAGGGGCAGCAATGCCAAAGGGCAGAGCACTGGGTTATGAGTTCACACAGACATCAGAAGTGTCTGCAGCCATTACTTGTGGCCAAGCATACGGGAACAAAAAAGTAACAGCCTCTTACCTTGGTGTTCAGAGACAGCAGCAGGTGAGGAACTCTTCCTCGAATGTCCGGGGCAACTTCTACCTCCAGCCAGTTTTTGAGCACGTTATACTAAAAAGACACCAAATAACCAGACAAGACAGCATGAGACCTTGGGGGAAAAAAAAATCTTCCCTGGCAGAAATTTTTCACTCATTTTTAAGGCTAAAAAGAACTAGTCCAGCCTTGCCCTCTGCACCAAGCAAAACTGGTGTTTTGGATTCTGTTCTTACAAGCATAACACTGCTGTGGTTCACAGGCAAGTGCACACAGGGGATCAGCAGCAAGTACACTTTGTGTGGTGGCATACTCCAAAGCCATTTTACTACAGCCTGCTGGCAACAAACAGGCATGTCAAAGGACAAAGAGGACAAGCCAGCCTGACTCCACCAAGCACCAAAAATTTGTTTCCTTCCTCTACCTTCCCTGCAGTTGCCACAGGCCACTCTCACAGTTAATGAAGACCATAGTCTTCAATATTTAGGTCAGAGCTAAGGCCCCCCAAGGTCATGTCCACTTGCTGCCTTCCCCAGCACACTTCCTGAGAAGACTCTGACCTCACCTTCTTTACAAAACAGGTGACTGTCTGTCCAACATCATAGAGTCCAAGTTTTTTGAGGGACTTTTCTTCTTTAAGGTTCAGCATTGCTGTGAATTCCCCTTCTTGTTCACTGTTTGGAAAAGAAGAAAGAGGACATCAGTAAAACAGTTTTGGTCCTAAAGATGAAGATGGAAGTTAGAAACCCAGGGGAAAGTGGTGAGCTAGTACTACTGTGACAATGTCTTTCACCCCTCCCCAGCTGCATTTTTTCTGCCAGGAATTAATTCTTCCCTGATCATAAGAGGAAATTTTTCTGATAGGAATAGACATGACAGAGTCCAGATTGGCAGAACCGGAAGCCAAAAGGACATTCAAAGGAAATCATGTGCTAAGAGAGCACTGTGATGTTTAACACAGCTATAGGACCCAAGTTAGTGTGAAAGAGAGAGTAAGAGACCTTGCCTCACTGCACTACATGTGGAGGTTCTTGCTCATGGCCAGCTCCTTCATGAATGAAAGGTACAAGGGATGGGACATCCAAGAATACAAGGTCTGTAAAGCATGTGCAGACAGCACAGAGGCCAACACTTACCTTGGTCGAATGCTGAGCTCTGGAATGGATTGTGTGAAGTGTGGATGGGTGATTGGCAGGCACCTAAAGAGGAAAAGGATCATAGTTTCTCATGATCTCCCCAGGTCCCAGTCACCCATATTTAATGCCTTTGCACTGGCAAAAAAACCCAGATAATGCAAGCCCTCTAAAACTACAAGAGCCTTCCAGTTCCAGTTCTTCCAATGACTATTTCAGTAGCAATTTAGGCAACCAAAATACCCCTCCAAATTTAGTCCCTTGTGCCTGTATTTAGGGCTTCCACTGGATCTTAAGAGTTTAGACATCTTTTTTTCTTGCAACCTATACTCAAGATAAATACAGCAACACAGATAGAAAGCTTATTTACTGAAAGCTGGATCTGGAATAGAATATAATAGCAGATTTCCTCAGGCCTCAACTACTCCAGTAAAGGCAGCTGTAACAGCATCTGTTGACAGAGGGCCTAGATGACATGCATTGAAACACAAACTGTTTCATCCTCTGCATTCCTCCAGTGTTTTCCCACCTGTGAGTATTCACATCTCTGCCTCCAATGACTCGAGCAGTCACTTTCTGTCCGGCTTTCAGAGTAGAAGTTGGAAAAGAGCCTATGGGCACTTCATCCAGAATCCGGGATGCATGGATAGAACCCGTCAGCTTGTCATCAATAGCTACAGTGACGTGGGTCGGCTTGACGGATTTGACGGTACCAGTAACAACATCCCCCGGGGACAGCGAGTGTTTCACAGCAGGAAGCGTCTCCTCCAGGGCTGTCTCTGACTCGCTCCGCACCCTTACAAAAACATTCTTCTTGGCTGGGCCCTGTACTGCTAACAAGACTCCATGGTTGTTCTCCTTCACGGTTTTTAAGGTGGCAGAGATTGTTTGTCCCACCCTCAGTTTTTCCGAGTCGAAGCGGAAGGTGTCGTTGAAGTGGCAGGCGATGGGGACAGCTGCCAGCTGGCCTGTCTCCAGCAGAGACACGATGGCAAAGTGCTCTGTGATGTGCTGCACCACCGCAGAGTGCTGCGAGTTCTCTCGGAGCCGCTAGACAGAAATGGACAGAGAGAGTGACTGCTCCTGCTGAGATCTGGATTCCCTCCACTCTACCTCCCACAGGTCTAAAAGAGGAAACAGCCCCCCTTGAAATTTATTAATCAGCTACAGTTTGCCAGACAAGCAGAAACACACAAACCCAAAAACTCAACACATACTCACTCGCTTGGGTCTTTGCTTTAACAGTTCTTCCCGAAGAGAAACATGCACCTCAGATGTGAGGGCATCCACATGAAGAACCAATGCCTTCCTTTTCTCACCAGGAGCAATATTTTTGGCTACAAATGAGAAAAAGGAGATTATATCCTGATGACAATGAAGAACTCTGAGCAACTGTCAGAGTGGTACATGACAAACACAAAAGGTTTAATTCCTGATGACCAAAGACTGCTTAATCACTATTGTATCTAAACCAGATTAGTACCAAACATGTAAGTCTATTTAAGAACAGATTCTCCCAATATTACTGGCAATGAGGAAAAAAAGAGAGAGCTTTGTATTTGGAAAAAGTCTGATCTTTCTTGGAAAAACTAAATTGATTTTATGAAGACACAACTCTTAAATAATGAAGACAAGGCTGACTAAAAATAAGGTCAAGATAATATAAAAAAAGATTTTCCCACCATTTGCACAAAACTATCATCAGTCTATCTGTTGCTAAGGAAAAAAAAACAAACTCTTCTGACACAGAAGTGCTGGGGTTATTACTTCTGCTGAAGTTAGAGGTTTATCTTGCTTTCTCTGGTTTATTCATTACTTCAGCAAATGTATGTTTGGTTTTGCACAATGTGACATCTTTAATTTTTTAATTGGAAAATTATGGTCCTGTTTTAAAGTCATTGATTTTTCAAGAAAAATTGACAGCAATTTTAGATAGGTATTCCTTGGAGTATGCTCTTTCTAAAGGAAGAAGAAAAAAAACCAAGAAAGCTGGAGCTTGTACTCATACTTGTCTATATACAATATGGTTCAGCAAAGTCTCTCTGAGCACAAACTAGATGCCCAAAATATGAGACAAGATTAACAGAGCCACAGGAAGGTTTATATCAAAGTTTCTGAGTCACACAAACAGGCCAGCAAGACATTGGGAAACTTAACTACTCTTCAAGGCCATTCCTACTCTGATCAGACTTCTCCCTGTTAGTACCTCATCAGCAGAATCCATTTTGGGAGAGGTTTCAAAGTACAAGACTGAAAACTAACACAAGCAAAGGAAAGACCCTCACCTCCCAAATGGTAGCGGGTGGCAGTTACAGACAAGCCTGTGACAGAGCTGCCACTGAACAGTGCTGAGCCATCCTCCCTCACATCCTGCACGACCAGATGCATCCTCTTCCCAGGCACCAACTCACAGATGCCAGGCTCTCCTAAATAAAAGGAAGAAAAAGTGGGAAATCAGTTTTACTTATGCTGTTTCTTCACAAAACAAAGACAAGCCTTTGCATTTACTCAGTGGTACAGGAAGCATTAATCTACCTTCATAAGGGAAAACAAAGCCTAGGCTCATGAATCTGTGGAAATACAAAGTAAATTTTAAGAGCTAATCAAAGCAGAAACCCTTTTGTGACATTAAGGACCTAATAATTTTAGAGTGAGTATTTTCCCATATTTTACAAACACTGGCACCCAGCATTGTATATGGAAAAAAGCAAAAGCAAAACAGAGTAACACCAGAAGTACAAAACAGACCTGTCACTTCACAATTACAGAAAACAAACATTAAAAAGTACCAGATATAGGAAGAATCTAAAAAGACAGTCAGAATTTGATAAAAACACTAGAAAAACAGCATGTGAGAAAACCCCTGCTGGAAGACCTATAATGCATGTAGTTAAATCTATTTGAACAAACTCACCCTCATGTGAGTACTGTGCTTGGGTTATCACAAGCACTTGATCCAAAATCAATGCAAGAGGCTTAGGAGACTTCAATGAAAAGAGCAATTTCTTTGGCTTGTTCCAGCTGTACTTACAAAAAGCCTCTTGTCAATGGCAGACACTGCACACACATCCTTTTTCTAATAAGCTGCTTTGGGAAGTGAAGTCTTTGCTTGAACTGAACTTTTTTTCACTTAAATGTTTTTCTTTACTTGTTCCTTTACAGCACTTTTTTTTTTTTTTTGACTTGATACCCTTTAGCAGAACATTTATAATCTTTACCTCTTTTCAACAAGTCCCTGATTTCTTTCAGCTCCTTGAAATATTGATTCAGGAGGCCAAAGCTCTCTGCAGCAGAATCTCCTGAGCTGCACTCAGACACCTTCAGATTGAGGAGCACACGCTGCTTCTCCTCATCAATGCTCATCACCTTTGCAATCACAGTCTGTCCCACCACGAAGTGGTCCTTGGTGTCTGTCACAAACTTGTCACTCATGCTCTGTGCAAAGGAAACAGAGGGCAAGGTTACTGAGCACGGCTGGTACTGATCAACCACCCACAGAGCTGTTCAGAAGGGTCTGAATTAAACTTCATGTAAATGCATAAGAGGCATTAACAAAGACTAAGAAAAACCCATCAATTAAAATTAATTACTGAGGTCACATGAAATCCTTGTTGAAGCTTAAGCTAACTTGAATTAAGTGCTTCATTTAGTTTTGGAAGTGATTTAGAAGGCAAACCTAAACCCTTTTACCCTGAGGCAGGAAGCTGTGCAAATGCAGGGCCTGCAGCCCAGTTGCTCCCTCCTTGTTATTGTACCTGATCACACACATGCTGCTTACTGAAATGGAGGCATTACTTACCACTTTAGGTGCCAGTCCTGTCACACCAAAAGGGAACTCCACAAATACTCCAAATGGCATCACATTCCTCACATAACCAGTCAACAGCATCCCAGGCTGGATTTCTGAGAAGCTTCTTACAACTTGCTCCTCCTGTACAGCAGAAATCACTGCAGACTTTCTACTCAAGATCTGAACAACCAGTTAAGAAAATTGGGAAAAGATGAATGAAAGCAGCACGATGTCAACCAAATCCCTCAGTGCTGCTAACCATTGGGCTAAAGCACTTGCTGCAAGTTAATAAGTACAGGAGTGCTAAATGCTGTAATTCCAATTTCTGTCTTGGTCTCCCTACACAAGAATTTAGCAACTCATGTCTCTTAAAACTGCTCAGCATTAAAGATACATGCTTCACAGCACCAGAAATATCAACTTCCTAACAATTCAGTTCAGATTTTTTATATAAAAACAGCAAATTTTTTCCTAAGGTTGTGATAGGTTTAACAGCCCAGAAGCTGGTTGGGAAAACAAGTCAGCTGACAACCTAGTTCTGAAGAGATTCTAGCCCCAGCTGAGCCTCACTTCCAGAACAAGTTATAATGTCTCTTTAAAGTATCATTAGCATGACAGGCACTTCCACTTCACACTAGCTACAGTAATCTTATGCTGGTTGCAGATACTCTGGAACCCTGAGAGATACCTCCTTCCCCACACTTTGTTTGCCTGGTCGAGGTGGCAAAGGATACAATGTGCTCTCCCTTGTCACTTAGATACATAACTCTGGGCAGGACGTCTCCCTCTTGAAGACAGTGCCACAGGAGCTTGGAGGCAGCAACAAAGTCAGAGAGGTGCAGCATGGGGATCCAGGCTACCACATTGTCTTCATCTTCTAAGATGGAAACTTCTAACCCATTATCTTTCTTCTTCAAGATTTTCACATCAACAATCTGAAAAGAGAAGAAGAACAGTGATATAAAATTCCAAGTGTTTTTGAACTCATTTATTTTGAGGCACAGGGGATGGGATGTGATGTGCTGCAGGGGATTTAATGTTGCCTCGCAGCTATACATGAAAAACACTCACATCAACAGGGCTGAGCTAAGAAGCATGACAACACTGCAGGTAAAATAAAAACTAATTCTCAGCTCCCAGAGAAACAAAGCTGGAAACATTCTCTTGGTTGTAACTTTTCATTTGAAGGGTGAAGGGAGCAGTTTCACCAAGATTAGAACTGTCCTGTTCCTGCATTAGCATCTCAGCTCTCAGAGAAATAGAGCTGGAAACATTCTCTTGGTTGTACTTTTCATTTGAAGGGTGAAGGGAACAATTTCACCAAGACTAGAACTGTCCTGTTCCTGCGTTAGCAAGGTCTGCAGGGAGTTGGAAACTGTTTATTGCAAAAACAGAGAAACATTTCAAAACATTTCTCTAAAGCTTTTATTTTCCAGGGAGCAAAAGCAGCTGGTTTTAGAGCAAGAAAATCAGCAGCATCCAGAAAATAACAAAAAATAGAATTCCACCTTAGGAGTAGAAGCACTCATTGCTACCTCCAGAGGGACTTTCCTGGGACTCCTTTATCCTGACCTCTGAAAACTGAGATACCATTTTTGATCCAGGAGGTCAACCACAGAGTAAGAAATGCACATTTAATGCTAATCCCTGATTACTGTCAGCTTTCTTGAAGCAAAGTTGTTCAAAGTGATACCAAATCATATGGAAAATGAGTAGGAAAAGGCTAAAAAGGAATCAGCCACTGAATTCAATACCTCTCCTATCTGGTACTTCATTTCCTGCTTCTCCTTTGGAGTACATTTCCATTTTTCCTCAGGGCCAGGTTTGCTTGATAATCTGAAGGACAATAAGAGTCTTTCCTGCTGAGGCTCACATTTTAAGACCATTACTTTAAGAACCTGAAGAAAAAAATAAATTATAAAACACAGGTTAAGTTCAGCTGAACCTCCTCAGTTTGCCACCACCTACAAAAGAAGACAGGGACATACATACACAGTTAGACTTTTCTCTCACACCTGAGGACAGCAGGCCAGTGGCTAGAACTCAACAGGTTCAACCACAGACAAATATCAGAAGGATATTTTCCCTCAGAGGGAAAACAGAAGTACATAATCATTAAATGAGCTTGTGAAAGTATGTACCAGGTCTGTAGCAGAGTTGAGAATAAAATCCAGATCTCCAGAACTAGTCAGAAATTCTGACTAGAAAATTACCTTTCTCCTAAGCCAACCAAAAAATAACAGAATTAAAGACAAATAAAAGCACCAGAAAAAATAATGAAGAGGGCTGAGATCTCTAACTTTGCCCACAACAAAAACCAGAACTGTAACCTTTCTCCTAAGCCAACCAAAAAATAACAGAATTAAAGACAAAGAAAAGCACCAGAAAAAATCATGAAGAGGGCTGAGATCTCTGTAACTATGCCCACAACAAAAACCAGAACTGTGAATAACACAGTTCCTAAAGTGCCTGTAATCTGAAACCAGCAAGACAACTGGAGTAACACCGAGGCAGAAAACATCATCCTTATGATTCTGTAGCATCCTTATGATTTCCTCAGGAGAAACAGCAGAACTTGAACTCCAGACTTCTACTGAGAATCAAGTCACATGACCGTGTTCTCCTATAGCACAGAGAGCCTAGAAACAAAGGCAAGTCAGACATACCCAAAGAAGAGCTGCCCTTTTAACAACCCACCCTGTTTAAATGGAGCACAACTAAGTAATAAAGTGAAAGGACATAATCATCTCTTGGTGTAGCTGGCTCCTCAGGTAAATCCACATTGAAGCCAACTGCAGATTTCTCTTTCACATTAAAACACGTGGCAGAGCAGAGGTACATTAATTACCTGGCCTTCATAGAAGACTTTATCTGGACAAGATATGGGTTCTGAGCCCAGCTCATTCTTGGGTACCAGACCTTTGACATCGTTGTAGAACTTCACAATGCAGCCAAACTCCCTTGCACACACTACAAAGCCATGTGTAATCAGACCTGGTTTTGCATCTTCATAATTTGAGAGGACTGGAAGCTTTGACTGAACGAGACTTTTCTTTAGAGTAAGGATCAGCTTCTTTCCTCCAGGATTGCACTCTAGCACCTATAAGAATGGAGTACAGAGGTTCAAAAAGCATGTCTGCCCCTGCCTGATCAATCCAGCTGCTAAATACTCAGAAGAGTGCAAAGCAGCTGAAGACCCTGTCTAGCAGCTCTCACCCGACACTTGACTTCATCTCCTACGTTGTACTTCTTCTCAGGCTGCTTCAGGATCACATCAGAGAGATGGAGGGATGGTACAAGTCCTCTAATCCCATCAGCCACTTTCACCTGCATCCCAATGGGTTTTAGAGAGAGCACTTTGCCCTAGAACCCAAAATAGGGGAAAAACTCGTAAATTCATCCTGAAAAGTAGACTGTGGTCAGACAGAAAACAGCCAAGACACTACAACACCTACAATCACCAAAGCGAATCACATTTTTAAAAAAAAGTAATCTTAGACCAAACTACATTCCACCCAACTAATCTGACCTGTTAACTTTTATAAGTTCATAAGATTGTTGTACTTCATAAGATTGTTGTACAGCCTCTTTTCTTTAAACATAGACTACCTCTGCAAAATTCCTATTGATGCCAGCAAGCTAGAATTGTTTCCAGAGACATATCCACTACAGCCATGACACAGACATAAAAATCATGAGTAACTTTCTGCCCATCAGCTTATTGTTCAACCATTGTGATTGTTCAACCATGAACTTTGACTGCAAGGCAAGTTTTCATTTCTTTCACTTAAGTCTTTTTAAAAATGTACTTATGGCAACAAATAAATGACTGACCATAGATAAAATTTGATTGACTTTGCCATATCATGAATAAAAACATGAACAAAATGGGAAGAGTATTGCATTCCACTAATCAAGTCCTCCAAGACAAGGTTTCTCTCACTTTCATCTCACTAGTCTGGATCAGAAGTTGGACACACATATTAGGCAGGAGTGCACACTGGCAAGATCACTGTTTTAAGTATAATATGCTCAGGTCCTTCAGAAGCTCACCTGCACCACATCACCCGTGTGGATATCCTGGTACTGCAGAAACCGTGCTTCAATAATCTGGCTAGAGAAGAGACAAAGAGACCAGTCAGTCATCTTGAAGGAAACCCAGGATAAGAGAGTCCCATCTCTGACTTGTCCCAAATATCCATTATTCCAGACACTCCACAGTGTTCTACAACTCCAGAGCTGTGTTTTACTCCAACTGACCAATCTCCAAAAACAGCTCTTAGGACATAAAGTTCAGGGAGGTTCACCAGGCTCCATTCCAAGTGACAGTCACACAGTTATGGCCTCATGAAAGGAGAACCCATTATCTGCTTTGCTTAAAGCCACAAAGTTGGAAGTACTAAGAGGGACTTTAGAATACAAATGAGCTGCTAGATCAAGGTTTGATTTCCTGCTGAATCGTGATCTTCTGCCTCAGCTCACCAATGATACTGATGGTGTCCCAATTCCACAGAGTATGGGGAATATGTGCAGGATGCCCAGACAACCTGATGTGCCACAACATAGATAAAAGTCACAAACCCCAAATGGCAAGTTCCAGTCCCGCAAAGCAGTGTAATATTCCACTCTCAAACACCTTTCTAATTCTTCAACCAGTTTTCTGGAAGAGTCTGTCATACTCACTTCTTCAGAGATACAATACACATCTCATCCATCAGGCTGTAGTCAATGATCCGACATTTATGTTTGGAACCTTCCTTAAATGCCCCAGGTTTAAAGGATTTTCTGGTTTTTGAAAGATGTTTCAACTACAAAAAAAGGAATTACAAGTGAGTGTTTGGAAAGTGGAAGCACTGATATGGGCCCTAGATTGAAGTGGCAGCATCCGACAAAACTGTTCCTCTAGCATTCTCTTTGTGCAGGTTTCACCAGCTCTTCCACAACAACCCTCCTACATTTAAATTCAAACAAGGGGATGTATCATTTGACAAACATCTCACATGCTATCTTAATTTTATTGCATTGCCTCACAAAGAAGATAAAGGCACAAAATAAACCCCTCTCCTAGCCCTCTTTCCCAGCAGGCTCAGATAGATATGGAGGACTTGCCTCGCCAGCCTGGCACTTACCCGTGCAAACGCAAGAGTGCCATCGTCAAGCTCAAAGATGGCCCCAAACTGTTTGTAGAAGGCTTTCACGGTGGCCTCCTCCAGCACTGCCCCCATGCGTGGGCCGGGGAGCTGGCGCGGGGCTCCCCCGGCGTGCAGGAAGGGCGAGCGCAGCGTGAGCCGCACCGCCCTCGACGTGGGGTGTACAGACAGCACGCAGGCCTTCACCTGGGAACACAGTGCTCACTGAACAAAAGGGGACAAAGGCACCTCACTCATGCTCATAGACATTCTGCTTGGTACTTGAACTTTCTGTCCACATGCAAGCACTTTCCAGAATTGCTACTAAGACATTGCTTGCTTCTAACAGCTTCACCAAGGAGGGATTTTTGCTTTTGTCTGTTTATGGACTAGGCTGGTATCAATGCAGGGAGGGGAACATGACCACACAAGTCATGTTTCTATCCCTTGCAAATTCCAGGTTTCCCAAATAAGTCTTTCAGGAATGGCTTTGTTATTTACAGCTTTAAAGCAGCCACAATAGTAATTCAAGTAAAAGATATGAAACAAGCTACTAGACTTAAGATTTCAGAGATAATTCCACAGAAATGCTGGAGAAGATAAGAGATGTTGTAAGCAAATAACTCTGGGCATCCTCCATCCTCCTTACCACTTGATCTGGAGAATAGCTCATGGATTTCTCTGGGTCAATGTGCATGAAATCCACAATGCCAGTGAAGTAAGACAGAAATGTCAGTTTCATCCCAAGTGGGGCCACCTAGAAAAAAGGAACAAAAAGATGCCAAAAAAATTTCCATGCTCAGTTTTCATGTACCAGAGAGCAATTAACACGTTTCAAAAAATGGCACTGTCAGTGTTAATCAACAAGCACATCACGAGAGACAGAAAAACTGCTAACAATTCTGCTTTGCACACTCTGGTGAAAAAACAATCCTTCTGTTTTTTGATAAAGCTGTGTGTATTCTGAATACTGCTATCCTGTTGAATATTTAGCAGTAAAGGCCAGAAAACACAAAATTATTGAAGCTCTGCTTCAAACTCCATCAGCAGCTTCAGTCTGAAGCCTTTATACTCAGGGCATCACAACCAGAATTGAGATCAGACCTCAGGTGAATGCAGTGGAGGGAAGTGTCTAGCAGATTATGTTTGCTACTTCTAAATAATTGAGACCAACCAGAAATTTTCCAGGGCATAAACTCTCATCTCTGCTTCACCTGTCTCCTGTCTTCAACAATGCTCAAAAGACCAAGCCAACAAAAGAAACCCAAACAAGAGCTTACCTTCTGCACTCGAGCTTTCACCACCAGCCCTGGCAATAAATTGGAGAGTGCCCAGTTCTGTCGCTCTGTGGCAATGGATGCAGCCACCTCCGATCGATCAATGGACAAACAGACCACCCTGCCCTCGTTCTTCACTTCCACAATGAGGCAGTTCAGGTTCTGGCCTATTTTCAAGTCAGGCCCTACAAAGATAAGTCACAGCATAAAATCTCTAGCAGGAACACTCAGTATTTCCTCCCACTCTTTCCAAAGCTTTTACAGAGTTCCCTCTCAGTCTATGTGAAGTTTACTGCCAGCAGGGCTTGGAACACAGTCTCTCAGATCAGGGGCTGAACACAAAGGCTTGTTGCAGACCAGCCACAAAACTGCTGCTTGCAGCAACCTGCACAGACACCACCTTGACCCAATCCCACCAAGGTGCACTAAACCACAGATATAATAAGCTCTAATCCCTGTCATTATCCACGTCCATTTTAACCCAGAGCCTCCTGCACTAGTTCTTACCTTTCTTGACTGCTTTGATGTAATTTTTGGCTTTCTCATGAGGCAGGAAAGCATGAGTTCCAATGACACCAATATCTATGAGGTAGCCATGGTCTTCCACACTCGACACAGAGCCAGAGAGCAGCTGTTGGGAGGAAAGCACTGCAACTCAGCAATGTAATGAAGCAGCTGGGTCTTCAAAGAATGAACATATGGTAAGAGATTCACCACCCAGAGCAGTAGCAAGAACACTACATTCTTTCTTATTACACAGCTCACCTAGCAGTGAGGACTTAACTCTACCTTTATCTAGCTATATACAAAAGGAACTCACAAACTAGTAGGAAAATAATTGTGATGCTCAAAAATAGCAGGTGCATACAATCATGCAGCTGAAAACACAAAACAGAAACAACCAAGCAATTTTATATATCACTGCAAGCTATTGTATATATTACTCTCTGTAAAAATTAATAAACTCAGAAATAAATAATTAGATAACTTGGCCATATTGAAACAGAATAAAGTGAATTAATTTCACGAATGACAACCTGGAGACAAGAACTAAACCCACCCTCTCCTCACAGGTCACTTCCATGGTGGGAGCAGCTCCACACTCTGCTCTGATCCCATGTAAGGACAAACTGAAATGCAAGAGCCCTGAGAGGCTGTGACAGACCCACAGAACTTACCATGCCTGCTGCTAGTGCTGTAGAGTTCAGGCCCTTGTTGACCTTCTTGGGGTCAATCGATAACTTGACACTGCGACGTCCATCGTCTCTTTTCTCAATGCTGGTCACGATGCACCTGACCAGTGTCCCTGGAGAAAACACGTCTGGGAGCGAATTCAACTCCTGCCCAGCAACATGATCAACAGAGAAACATACAATTTTTACAATGTTAAATAACATAAGGCTAGAATTTGTTATTGAAGCAGATTTTGAAAACAAAATCCCATAAGAAAGTCCTGTTTCTCTGCCAACGCTTCAGTAACAGGCAGGAAATGCCACAAAAACTTGAATCTCAATAGAGAAGCAGGAATGACACTATGTCACGTCAGCAAGACTGAGAGGCTTTGCTTAAAAACACTGTGTGGGCTGGAGTCAGGAGACTGCAGCTAAGGAAACGTCTACAGAGCCAACAGTGACCCTAACCTGGCCTCCTCCTTCAGCAGAGAAAAACACCATCACCAGCAAAGGGACAGTGCTAATCCCACATTCCACACCACCTCAGGAAAACTTAGGCACTGCTGACACCAGAGAGGCAGGGTAACTGTAATTATTTCATTTTGTTTTTTCTAGCAGTCAGCTGTTACCAGGAAATTGCACAGTTTGCTTGGAAAACCCAGTTCCAAACCAAGGTCAGTCAATGTCAGGCTCCTAAGCAATACCTCAGGGTTGGTTCTGAGGTACTAACAACACACTCTGCCTCCAAGCACAAATCACAGCCCCAGCCCCAGGTCTCACCTCCAGGACTTCTCCTTGGGCCACCTGCTTGGTCAGCAGTTTGCTGTAGGCATCGCTGATCTGCGTGACCGGCACAAACCCGGAGAGGCCGTTGGGCAAACTGATGGCGAGCTCGTAATCACTGACCTCTTTTATACAGCCAAGGAGCAGCATCCCCTCACTGAGCGCCTGGGAGGGCAGGAAAAGTAGCATACAGGCAAGTCAGTGATAACAGGGGGACAAGCAGTTAAGTTTTGTATTTGGCAGGTTTAGGGAGGAAAAACATGCCATTTTTACGTAGCCCAGAAAAGAGAGGCACACAAAATCAAACATTTATGCACCAACCTCAATTGTGAGTGGTCCAATATTCATAACATTGTCTTTAACAGCAGCTTTAACAGTTTTGTCTGCCTTGAACCTTTTCTGCTTTTCTTGATCTTTCTGGCCCCTTTTTCTCTTCAGGGATTTTTCTTCATGTTGAACCTAAAGCATATTACAAGCACAGAAGGTTAAAAAAATAAAAGTGGAAAAAGGAACAAACTTTGCACTATGGCAGAACTCTGCTGCCATGAATAAAATACCAATTTGGACAAAAAGAAGAGAACCATCTTGCTAACTGTTGTCTGTCTACATGCAAGTCTTCCAAGTTTCTCCTTTGGGCCAAGGCTGATTACTTATAAAGCTGAATCTTGGGAATAGAAAAGAGTGGTGCAAGAGATCTGCACCACACTCTACTAACAGAAAGACCAACTTAGCCTGCATCCAGTAACACCAGGCTCACCATGCAGCACCTTGGGATAAGATGCTTGTGGAAAGTTTAAAAGCTACAGCCTGACCAATTTTGACTGAACTTTCTCAGTCATCACGTTCAAGATGTAACAGGTATCAGGGATCCTTCAGAGATCAGGAGGATGGTGGATGCCAGCAGACATCCATTTTTGGGAGTCCTTCTGTAGTTTAGTGTAGAAGTAAAAGGTAGAGAGGGCTGCAGTCAAGTTCTGACAGAGGAAGAGCTCCGAGAAGTTAATCAAGAGCATGCAAACAACATACATCAAACAAATTGTCCCGCTCTGACTTTGGCTTGGGTGTTTTTCCCTCTGCAGGTTTCTTCTGGATGCCTCCTCGAGGAAAGTTTTCTTCCATGGATGCCATGATTGCACTGCTCTGGGACAAATGACAAAAGCAGAAATGAAACATACAGTTTTTGTGCTTATTCCTCACAAATACTGAGGTGACATGAGTGAACTACCTCCAGAACAAGAAAGACTTCGGATAGCTGTTCTAGTTATCAGTGACAAAACAGAAACTCACATCCAAATGGATTTATTCAACACTTGACTGCAATGAAGTGTTGCAATGATCTATCTAAATATGCACGTCCATAACTTTTTACTACTGTACAGCTCCACTGAAGTATTACAGTATTCACTTTTAAGGCACTTAAATACATCACATATATATATTCATAAAACTGCTTTAACCGCATTTTGCCTAAACCAGTCTTTATTCTATTCAGTGGCTGAATTTACCAGCTTCAGTCACCAAGGAGAAAGCTGTGAGCAAAGCACTAGATAAGCTTGGCTTGCATTTTTACTTTTTGAACGCTACTTTTTAATTAATTACTTATGATTAATATAACTTGCTACCTCTTTGTCTAAGCCATAAGTATATGCATATAAAATAGGTGTTTAACCTTACTATTTCAACCAATAAACAACACCTTGCTTATTTGGTCACAATTCACTTGTTACTACCACTAATAAATAATAATATATAAAAGCAGTTGCTAGTCCTATATTATTATTGCTTATAGCGTTTATACTATTACTTACACCATTACTTATTATTAGCCAACAGCACTTCTACAAAAAATAGAGCTGAAACCTTATGCTGTCAAACTTCAGGCAACCTGTTAGCCATACAAAACTTCTTTAAACGGAAAGCACACGATAAAGCGAAAGCCGTCAGGGCACGCTTCAGCTCGGGGCTCGCTGAGGAACACACACCTCCCACGGCAGGCAACCAAGCCGGCCCCGCTGCAGCGGCATCTTACCTGCCCGGACCTGCCCGGGGCCGCTGCCAGGGGGAAGCGCGGGATCGGGACGGAGGCGGTTCCCGGGAGCGGGAAGCGCACGCGGCGCCGGCCGGAAGCGGCGCTCGGGGCTGAGGGCAAAGGGCGGCCGGAAGTGGCGCGGCCGCGCCTCAGCCACCCAGCGGGGAGAGGGCGGGGCCAGGCCGCGCCCCGGGGACCGCGGCCAATCGGCGCGCCCGGGGGCTGCGCGCGGCGCATGCGGCCGCCATCTTGTGGGAGGGCAGAGGCGAAGGGCAGAGCGCGGCGGGGACGGCGGCGGCCCAGGTACGGCGGGGCGGCCCGGGCGGGGTCGGGTCCTGCTTCTGCTCCTGCTCCTGCCGGGAGGGGGACGGCGGCTCTCCGCAGCGCCGGGGCTCCCGCGACCTTCAGCCGCGGCGTGGCTGCCTCCGAGTCCCCGGCGCTGCCGCGTCCGTTCCCCGGCCCGGCCCGACGCGAGCGCGGGGTCGCGGGTGTAGCCGGGCAAGGACAGCGGGCTCCTCCGGAAAACAGGACTCGTGTTGTCACGGGGTGCCTTCCCGTCCTCGGAAGGGCGCCTCGGCTCTTGCCCAGGCTTTTGCATCGGTCAGGCACGAGAAAAGATGACCTTGGCTTGTCGAGTCTTTGCCGATAGTATGTGGCACGTTTAGAGGGGCTCTTCCATTAAGCTTTTTAACTATGGCACGGTCAGCTAACGCTTACCTGGTTCTACGGCAGAGATAACGCTGCTGGATGGGGCTGGGTGAGCGATAGATGACACACAGGAGCTGCGTTGGTGGCCAGCTGGTCCGTGTGCCTGCTGCAGGGACACCGGGGCTGCAGCGTCTGCCGCGCTGGGGATGCGCGCCGGGTCTGGGGTGCCTTTGCGGGAGGCAGGAGATAAGCGACAAATGTTTGTCCTAAACGTGACATCCTCTTCAGAAAAATGTATCTCTAAGCATTAAAAAACCACTCTGCTTTTATTGTGCAGTGAACCCTTTATTTGCTTATCTGCTCTGGATGTGCCTGCTCCTTATGTTTATCCACTGCTTGTCAAATGTCCTGAAAGTAGATTTGGGAGCAGACAATGGAATTATGAAGCTCAGTGTGGAGATTAGTTTGATTTTCCTATTGATCCTGTCCAAGTGACTTTATATGAATTCCCTGTCCTGTACTGTTTGTTAGGACAAGCAGCCATGGCTGGCCATGACTCGGGATCTCAACACCAGTTCACTGGATTTCAGAAGTACTTCAATTCCTACACCATCATAGGCAGGAGGAATGTATGTATTAAGTACATTGTTTTGTAGTCTTGTATAATGGTATTTTCTGGGGCTTAGACTGAAACTAAATGTAACTTTTCTGTTTTCCAGTATGTAATAGCAACGTACACAGGTGTTGCACTCCTTGTCTTGTATTTCAAGTTTAGGCCTAAGAAGCAAGCTCCTGCTGTGACAGATAAGTAAAAGGTAAGTGGCTGATGTTCCTCCAGGACCAGAATGCTTCACTGCCAGGTCAGGAAGCAGTGGTAGAGGACTAGTTGCCAAAAATACAGTGTAATGAGAGACAGAAACACAGGCACATGGACTTCCTATTTACCATTTTAAACCTCAAATAATCTGTAGCATTGACTTATTTGGAGGCATTCTGAATAAAGTGGATTATTAAAGGGAGTGCAGAAAGTATGGGATACAGTGTTCTTGTTCTTCTGATGTGGTAAATGGGACTAGGGATGGGATGCAGGGAGGAAGAGTAAGCAGGGAAGGAGGAACAGGAGGATGTTGCAGCAAAACACATCAAGCTTTGTCTACAAATATTAGGTGCCTCTGGTCTGCCCTTTTACTGTAAAATAGGGATAACTTGCTTTGTAGGTTATTGAAATAATGAGGTGGTACTTAAGGACTTATTTCTTGACTGTATTAGAATTCAAAGTAGAGATTAATGCAGTCTGTTAAGACCTTCGTTTGTACAGAGTACAGGAGCACCATATGATGGAACTGTGCATGTTGCACACATGATTATTCAAGGCCTGTGCAGAAGTGACTGGACTTGTATAGCAACAACCAAGTGTTACAAAATTTTGGGGTCACTTTCAAATAAAGAATTTTCACCAAAATGGCATTTAGGCAAAACCTGTGGGCTGTCCTCATAGCCTGAAGAAAGGGGTATAAAACAATAATAAAACATTGTTGTGTTAAGGGGGCATCAGCCACTTCTTCCTGGGTGTGCTGAAATCTGGCTGCTCGTAGCTAAAATAGTTTGGGCTTGGGGCAGGGGGATGCTCAGTTAACATTGTGCAAGAATTGCTATGTTTGACCTTTCTTCTCTTGGCAGGTTCCTGGCATGTCTGAACCTCCAGTCTGTGTCAGTGTAATGCAGGCTGACGACCTGTTGTGGCTAATAAAATATAAATAATTACTTGTTTTATTGGAAGTATGAAATGGTCCAAAAAAACCAGAGTGTGGTACTTCTCATTTTTCCTTCTTTGTCAGAATTAGTTGCTTGTAGCAGAGATGGAGCATCTGATTGTGTCATTACTATCTTAACTGCTGCTGTTGTAACACATCCTAAGGTGTTCTGAGCACCTAGGAAGGACCTTGGGGCCATAACACTGCACAGGGCCTGCAGCTGATCCAGGCATCTCCACACATCTGTGTCACAGCTTGCATGGGTTGCAGCCATCTGGTTGCTCCCACTGTTTGCATTCTAAGCCAGTAGCTTACATGGGAACTGTGACATCTTGTCTCAGTTGTCTGTATTTTGCACAGAACCTCTTTGGTTTTGATGGAAAATCTCTGAAAATAGGCTGACCCAGTTATGGTATTTGAGCTTTTTCTGTTACTGGTTTTTCTTGCAGAGGGAAGAAGGAAAATGGCTTAGCCTAGTGATGTTAAGCTCCTGTAACTCCACATTCATAAACAGTGACACAAATAGTCCAGTGATTACTTTTCCTGTCTCTTGTGAGAGGAGATGCTCTACCACAGTGAGGTGTGTGCAGCCTCCTCCCTGCCCAACACTCACACGTGTCTATCACATTCTCCAGTGTCTTTCTGTAGTGCAATTAACACTTGGAACCTTCCTTAGATGTCATAGTGCTGATGTGGGAATGTGATGGTACCACACTTCTGCCAGCAGCAGGGGTTGAACCATGCTAAAGCTTGCAAATCGTTTACTTCCCAAACTGAGGGCAGCAAACAGTTGGAATGATTGCTAGAAAAATGGAAAAATTAGTTACAGGGTCTTGATGCTCTCCTTTACTTCATTTTTTCTTAAAGCCATTTCTGTACATGCTGTGCCTGCTGAACAGACCTGGTCATCTTTCCCTCCTGAGTGTTTGCATAGGTGGCTTCAGCTGTATTTAATTCCCTCACTAAAGAATGGTGGCTGTTGAGTGTAATAATGGCAGGAGCTAGAATCTGTCTTCCTTTTGAACAAGATTTATATGGAATGGTTGCTTATCACTTAAACATTTCTGATTACTTTGTTTCTCTTAGTAGAGTTGTCACAGTTACAAACTGCTCTTGCTTCCACTCCAACCATTAAGGGAAGTAAATATCTTCTTGTAACATATAGACACAAACTAAGTGGTTTTAGTATTTATTATGATATCAAAAGTATAAAACTGTACAAAATACAAAGGCAGAATGTGGCAGTGTTTTCTTTAAGCTGTCAAAAATTGTACTTAAATTTAACTGGTCATATTGAGAGCTAGGAAATTTTGTTGAGGTATCATTACACACAAAAAAAAATCAAAATAATGAAGTTTTACCCTTTTTTCTTTGAAGAAAATATCTAGGTGAGCTTCCTAGTGAATTTTTCACACTTTATTTTGATGTATAATGCCTGCAGTATAGCTTTACTCTGTCAGAGCAAACAAGAGATGAAAGAGGAGGTAGTTCTCCGTTTACCTTAGAAATGACAAGTCTTGTTTTCATTTTCACTAGAGCCAGTAGATTGTTCAAGTGTCCAAGTCCTTACTGTGAAGTAATGAGGAACACAAAACAGATTTCTCTGCACAAATCTTGTAAGAGATTAACAACAAAAACCAACCCAGACCCAAGCCACACTGGACCTGCCTTTGGTGGTGGAGGTTTTGGTTCAAAGACACAGACGTCCTTCCCAGTGTTCTGCATGTTTTACTCTTCTCTACAAATAAACACAGCTTTATTGGTAGTCCAGAAGGACTCACTGGGTACAATCTTTTTGTGGATCGGAATTGTCACTCAGCAGACAAGCTGGCCTTTCAAAAGTGAACTGACCACACACTTATCCTTTCCTGCTGCTATAATGTTTCAATTTCTTGGCTAGTTTTACCAGGTTTTTCTATATTAAACCTTATGCAGCAAGGATACAGGTTATTAATGTTCTTTTACAGCTAATACAAAGTAAAGGGTTTAAGTCCACTTTTTTAATCGTGACTATTTCAGCTGTGCCTCAGTTCCCCCTTTTTATTTTCTCATACAATAAAGTATGAAAGTAAACAAAGTTCACACTGCGCTTCTGGTTGCTTATCACACTGACAGCACTGGCTACCTTTGAAAACAGTAACAAGATTGTGTTTCTGACACCTCAAAAGGGCACATCAGTTTGAAATCTGTTCAGGACTTAGTACTTGGCTGCATAAAAACCGTGCACGGAGCTCGGCGGCAGTTCCCCACAAGCATCGGGCGCTCGGCCTGCTCCGTCAATGCCCTGCTTGTTGCTATGATCTCACCACGCCTGCTGCCCAGCCCAGGCTGTAGTGAATCAAACTACATTCTTCTTTCCTGAAAATGGACAGTTTTGCTTGTGTTTGAGACTGATGAAACATTTGCTATACATAAATTAAGTGCTTTAAAAAAAGCTGAGAACACGTGTAAAGGCTGTTAACTTTTCACAAGTTTCAGCAGAGCTCAGTACCACCTCTGGGAAGAGATGGCTCATTTCATATGTACACATCTATGTTACCAAAAGCACCACGAACAGTTCCTTCTTTTACAGCCACAATGTCTTGTCAATCTCCAGCATTTTCAAACTGCAGATAAATATGAAACAGCAGAACTGAGAACTGCTGCTTGCATAAATTACAGTTTCA